CCCTCCCCCGCCAACGCTTCTATCTACCCCTTCCATAAGCCGGTGGAAAACTATCTCGAAGATTCATATTTTACGAGAATCCCCGTTGTTGCGGCCATATTGTATATTTATCTGGAACAATCGGGACCGCCTACGGGGTTGGGATACCGGTGCATGGATGCACCGAGTTGAATGCATTCATATAGCCTGTCTGGCATATATACATGTATATATGTATACGTCTCCGAATGACTGTATATAACGGCGGTGATTTCGTCCAGTGCATTCTGGGAGTTTATTGGTTTGAATATTCCCGCGGGAATGATCGTTTTCTTGGGACGGGACGGTTTGGCCCGGTTACTTGATGCTTCTATGGACGAAAGAGATTATTTGGCTGAGCCCGAGCAGCTTAGGCGGGCGCATGTTTGTTTTTGGGTTTGAGAAAATTTGCTTTTTTTTTTTTTCTTTTTTTCTTTCAGGAAGAAAAATTGTACAGGTATGTGGGTTCGTAAGGGGAAAAAAAAATTGTTAGAGGGGAAAAAGGGTGAGCGTGCATTATCTGAAAAATATTTGTTCGTTTACCTTGACTGTGTATAAAAGCGATACTCACTTTTTCTTTATCTGAAAAAGTGACGGCCTACCGCTCGTTGGCGATTCTGCAAATCCGTGCGAATTAACGAAACTTTGGCGCGCTGCATCCTCGAGCAAACTGTGGTGTAACGGGGCAAATAGGTAAAATCGCTTTTCGGGCGTTAATTAATCGTAGCCATGGCAGCGGGAGGATCAATTATTATAATTAGCCTACGTCACGTTGGTAGCCGTGTATACGAGTGTATATATATATATATATATGTCACGCACTCGATTGTCGCGGGATACAATTAACTGGTAAGAAGGACGGCAGGGCGACCCTGCTCTTTCGAGCAATATGGCTGAATTAAGAAAGGAGCCCCTTGAGACCCCCCTTTTTAATTGGACGTCCAAGGATCGGCGCCCTGGATTCTTCTAGAATGTTCGATCGTTGACGAAGGAGCGAGAGTCTTGAAAAGCGAAAAGTAAACGTTGAAAGTACCGTCGCCGGTTGCGGGTGCGCGAGGGGTGAGTTTGGAAGTGTTTTTTTTGTTTTCTTTTTTTCGAAAAAAAAAAAAAGAATCGACCGGGAAAATTTGTTCGAGAAAGTTCCATTCGAAGATCTCGTAAGTCGAAGGGGTTCCGGGGCACGTCTTATCATTACTGATAAAAAGCAGGCTATGGGGTATTTGGGGTTACCAGGCCGGTTTGGGCCAGTCAAGTGGTTCTTCTACCTTTATGCAATTTTTGAGTGTCACTTTAATTGGATATCGATACGCCTGGGTCAAGTGACTGGAGAAAGAGAGACAGAGAGAGAGAGTACTCGTATAATTTTTATAGACATCACTTACCCGTTACAACATACGTAAGATATATAGGTATAGCCTTTATCAAAGTACAGTGTAAGTATCGGGGACCCGAGAAAGAATTTTTTCTCAGCTCGTTCCCAAAGGCGTCTCACCGGGTCCATTCGATTGAGATGTTAACGCGAGATTTACGTTGTACGCTCGTCGCTTAATGAGACGTCGGACACGACGATAGTCGGCTTGTTAATTCTTATCGACTATTTTGATTGGCTCGCGTGCCACACATGTGGCACTCTTCTCCGTTTCACATTAATTCAAGTAATTAACGGGCTCTCGAATCGTTAAGCTCGAATTGACCGTTCGGCGACGTATCTCTGTCTCTCTCTTCTCCCCGATGCTTCCCTATACGTCTATCTCTCTCTCTCTAACGCGTCCTTACGCAGAGAATCACCGTGTCAACGACATACCGTAAGTCGCGTAATTCCGTAAGATGAAAATTAAAAAATTTTTTTTTTCCCCCTCCACCTCTCCCTATGCTTATCTTCGCACCTTCGTATACGGGGTGACAAATACTTTCAGGATCCGAAAGAGCGTCGACACTTCGCTATCAGCCGTAACCTCACGTTGCTCGCGGTCAAAGCGGCGATAGGCGTACCTGTGTGGCGATTCCAAAAAATGAAAAAAAAAAAGTTGACGTCACCGATCGTCAATATAAAATATCGAAAAACATACGTCTAATCGGTTTCGAATTTTCCCACGACAGTCGAAAATCAATTATCGCACATAACGAATGTTCCATCGACTCCAGGGTGGCAAATGGAGCCTTTAGCCATGGCCGAGATGTAGGGAAGAGAAGAAGCTCGCGAAATCATCAGTCACCGTGAAATTGGAAATGTCTTCTTCTTGCTACGGGGTAAAAAGGGGGGTATCGCTTGAAGTTTCTCTTAGCGCTC